TTTTCCAGCCAATATTAAAAAAAAAAAAAAAGTACTTGTTCTGGACTGTTTATTCACTCTTCCCTGAGATAGCTTTCTTATAAAATACTGCAACTGAATATTTTGCATTTGTGATTGTACATATCAAATCTGTTTTTGCTAGCCACAGTATATTTGACATAATGTATGACAGTGGGCCACAGATTCATGGACGTGAGTTTAAGCAGTTTGAAGTGTAGTACAGGCTTGGACGTTTAACTGCTAGTTCCATTATTTCCAGTCCAACTGGTTGATGGAAAATGGTGTCAAAATAATAAAGCACCTACTGAAAAGGGATGTGGAGTCAGACTCTGACCCATATTTAACACTGTCTAATTACAGAATGGGCACCAATAAAAATGGGCTGTCACCTGCTGCCATTTTATTCAACGGAAAACTGAAAACAAGAATGCCTGATGTCAGAGTCACTGGAGACTTGCAAATGTATAAACAGACAGATAGGGCAAAACAAAAAAATCAGGATCCTGGGAGCTGCCACCACTTCATGAAAATGATGCTGTGCATCTCTGTGATAGGAAACAGTGTTAAAGAAATGTGCTTGCTTAGAAAGTGCTGTGTAGTAACTTATAATGGGTGGCAGTTACAGCTGTCATGCCTTGGGAAAGAAAGGAAAACACAGACGCTGGCCTATTTAGGCAGTCTGATTTGCTGAAGATATCAATGTGAGCAAGGAACTGTGCAGCCTGGGGGAAAGGTGACACAGTCTGTACCCCTGTGTTCACCCCTTTTACAGGACGATGATAAATGTTGTGCAAAGTATACCTTATGAGGTATCATTTGAAAACTCATAATTTGCTGATCATTATTGCCCTGGTAAAATATGTTGGGCAACATTGAATGTAAAGCTATAAGACTTCTCCATATGGTATTACTAAGACATGATCCAAGTCTGAGGGGAGGAGCTATAAACAAGTTCCTCAGAGACAAAAGGCTAGCCAATGCCTCAGCCAGGTGTCAAGAAAATCAAACGGACCATCACCTGGTTAAGTGGCTATTCTTTGGCAGGAAAGAGGATGTGGGTGAAAATCTACATCTTGATAAAGAAACAGATGGGGGTTCCTGTCCACATAGACTTTCTGTCTCCTGAACATCAGCTGGAAATGATTCCTGAAGAAGAGAAAGAAGTGTAAGAAGAGACACCCCATATGATTCCTCCCTTTGTTTCTAACCACGGCACTTAACAGTTGAAGAACAAAGGAAACCGCATCAGACTGGGGGAGGGATCCTGACTGAAGGCGATACAGCCAGTAAGACCGCTGTAACATGCGATGAAAGAGACATCTGCTTTGAAATCACTTAGCTTAATAAGTTAGGTATTAGTTTTGCTTTACTTTTATTTTCTTGTAACCAGTTCTGACTTTTATGTCTCATTACTTGTAGTCACTTAAAATCTATCTTTCTGTAGTTAATAAACTTGTTTTATAGATTCATCTAAATCAGTGTGTTTGGATTGAAGAAGTGGGGAAACTCCATTTGGGATAACAGGATTTGTGCATATCATTTTCTATTAATAAAACAACAACTTTATATGAGCTTGTATTGTCCAGGAGGGTACTGGGCAGTACAAGATGCACGTTTCTGGGGAAAGTGCAGGACTGCAAATTTGCTGGTGTTACTTTGCAGCATAATTAATGAGTGGCTGGTTATAGCAGTCATACAATATAACTGGGGGTAACTTACATGTTGGAGGCTGTGTGTGAATAGACCAGGAGTGGTAGCTCTTACAGCAAAGCAGTGTAAAAGGCACCCCAGGTTGGAGAATTGAAGGGACACAATTGTTCATCAGTCCAGATTGTACACTGGGTAATGTCACAGAGGGAGAGAGATGTTGGTCTCTGCCCAAGAGTGGTGTTGGCTGAGGAGCCAGGAACCTAGAGCGGATGCCTTTGGTAGACCACAGAGCAAGAAATACACGTGCAGTTGCCGTGAACTGTGACATTGAAAATTTTTGTGTGCTCTCCTTTTGATGCACATGCATAAATCCTGTTAGTCTAAACCATCATTAAAAATGAATACACCAGTTCCTTTGTTTTCATATGCACAAATATGCATCTGAGCAGACAACAGAATTACCTGTCTGGAAATAGTAAACTGGTATCCATGAATCAATATGCTTTAGTCTCTTCAGAAACTGGGAGACCAGTTTTTTTGTAGCAGGTAGCTATTTCCGAAAACAAGATTAAATTCATAGATGAGACAGTTCCTAGTTATACTGCTGCCCGCTTCTTAATAACAATGTCACCTGAAAGTGAGAACAGGCGTTCGCATGGCACTGTTGTAGCCAGGATTGCAAGATATGTACGTACCAGATATGCTAAATATTTGTATTCAACAAATTGATAAATTAAACAGTAATAAGTCACCAGAACCAAACAGTACTCACCCAAAAATTCTGAAGGAACTCGAGTATGAAATTGCAGAACTATTAAGTGTGGTATGTAACCTATCATTTAAATCAGCTTCTGTATCATATGACAGGCGGATAGCTAAAATGACACCAATTCTTAAAAAAGGCGCCAGAGGCAGTCCTGGAAATTACAGGCTGGTAAGCCTAACTTCAGTACCAGGCAAATTGGTTGAAACTATAGTAAAGAACAGAATTATCAGACACGTAGATGAACATGATTTGTTGGGGAAGAGTCAACATGGCTTTTGTAAAGGGAAATCATGCCTCACCAATCTATTAGAATTCTTTGAGGGGGGGTCAACAAACATGTGGACAAGGATGATCCAGGAGATATAGTATACTTGGACTTTCAGACCGCCTTTGACAAGGTCCCTCATCAAAGGCTCTTAAGCAAAGTAAGCAGTCATGGGATGAGAGGGAAGGTCCTTTCATTGATCAGTAATTGGTTAAAGGACAGGAAACAAAGGGTAGGAATAAATGGTCAGTTTTCAGAATGGTGAGAGGTAAATAGTGGTGTCTCCCAGGGATCTGTACCGGGACCAGTGTTCAAGACATTCATAAATGATCAGGAAAAAGGGGTAAACAGTGAGGTGGCAAAATTAGCAGATGATACAAAATTACTCAAGATAGTTAAGTCCAAAGCAGACCGCAAAGAATTACAAAGGGATCTCACAAAACTGAGTGACTAGGCAACAAAATGGCAGATGAAATTCAGTGTTGATAAATACAAAGTAATGCACACTGGAAAACATAATCCAGAGCTAAACGAGCTGTTCCAACTCAAGAAGGAGATCTTGGAGTCATTGTGGATAGTTCTCTGAAAACATCTGCTCAACATGCAGTAGCAGTCAAAAAAGCTAACAGGATATGAGGAACCCTTTGGAAAAGAACAGATAATAAGACAGAAAATGTGTCACTATATTAATCCATGGTACGCCCACATCTTGAAAACTGCATGCAGTTCTGGTTGCCTCTTCTCAAAAAAGATATAATAGAATTGGAAAAGATACTGAGAAGGACAACAAAAATTATTGAGGGTCTGAAACAGCTTCCATGTGAGGAGAGATTCAAAATGCTGGGACTTTTCAGCTTGGAAAGGAGATGACTAAGATGGAATATGATAGAGTTCTGTAAAATTGTGAATGGTGTGGAGAAAGTGAATAAGGAAATGTTATTCACCCCTTTACATAACACAAGAACCAGGGGTCTCCCAATGAAATTAATCGGCAGCAGGTTTAAAACAAACAAAAGGATGTACTTCTTCACACAACACAGAGTCAACCTGGTGAACTCATTGCCAGAGGATGTTGTGAAGATCAAAAATATAATGGGGTTCAAAAAAGAACTAGAAAAGTTCATGGAGGATAGGTCCTTCAATGGCTATTAGCCAAGATAGGGATGCAGCCCCATGCTCTGGGTGTCCCTAGCCTCTGACTGCCAGAAGCTGGGAGTTGATCACTAGATGATTGCCTGTTCTGTCCATTCCTTCTGAAGCACCTGGCAGGGACCACTGTCAGAAGACAGGATACTGGGCTAGATGGATCACTGGTCTGACCCAGTGTGGCCGTTCTTCTGTTTATGTTAAGGCCATTTGTCAGGCAAATCGAACCTTCTAGCTAAACTTGGTTGCATTTTCTCTCAGAACTTGTCAACGTTGCACAATGGCAGCACAATGCAACTTCACATCCTGTGAGTGATAGCACATCACACAGGTACTAGACCTGCAGATAGACCTTGAATTAAGTACCTTATGATCTCAGACATTTTTGGTATGTGTTGGAGATCATGACCAAAAAGACCAGAAAGTATAGCTATGGCTAGCATATGAAGTTTTTTGATTGTTTTAGGAAATAGCTTGGAGGAAGAAAATTAAATGTGTTTTCTCTCTCTCTTTGCTAAAGAGAAAAAAGTAAATAGAAAATGGTTCTTTCCAATGACAGTTTTAGCTAAAATAATGGGGTTAATTATTAAACCTTTTACTTAGTTGCTCATTTTTTCTGCTGATGCTTTAATCCTGGGTCACAGAAAGTTTAAGACTGCTTTACTGTGGTGACTTTTTTCTTTTTGCCACAAGTTTTCCAGTCTGAAAGGATGTTAGGGGTTTTGCTGCTTGCTTTCTCCTTGGTTACCATTGCTCATTCTGACTTCTGCAGGCCAGGTAAGTTTTGCAATTGAGCCTCATCCTTTATCAGTTAAATGTCTCAACTTGGTGAACACTTTCAAAGCTGGCCACTTAGACATATTAGACTGTAACACTTCTGTATAGAGTTTGAGGGTGTATACTCTGAGCCTTCGCCTCTTTTGTGAGTTTGTGAATAGGTTGCTAAAGCCAACCTTATTCTATTTTGAAGAGATCATGGTTAAAATCATATTGAGAATCCACGGTGTCCAGGCTTGTTCACACTAATAACGTTGAGGTCTCCTAATCATGTAATAAGATACATTTAGAAGCTTTTATGCTCTGATCTGTAATACAGTTGGAAAAGTAAATAATTTAAAAACCAATTTTCTAAGATTATTTTTCTGTTTATTGCTTTCTTTTTCTTTGTCTCAGATGCACAGAATGCTTTCAAAGTACGGATTAGTATCAAAACAGCTTTGGGAGATAATGCAGTAAGTAGAGTATCTTCATGTATTCTTTCTGACTGAATAACTGACTAAGTAGAGCTAATTTAAACGGTAAAATCTCTGAGCGGACAATTTGCACTGATGTCCTCACTGTAATAAACTGCCCATCAAGTCATAATTCAGGTATTAGTTTCTTGAGGTTAGGATAGCATTTGTCTAAAACAAGCGTCCTTTAACAGTAAGTATAAAGCATACCTCTTCATAAAGAGAATGTTCCATGTACATTATTTCAGACAGCACTTTGAGATATTGTACCTTCAGTATGAAAAGTGCTATGTAAATACAAATTCTGTCTCTCCTAGTTTGGCTAAAGCTGCTCTGCTTGAGAATGCTAAATGTAAAGGCAAGCAAGTTTTGGCAGATAAGCAGGAAAAGACTTACATCTTCTTTAGTTTTTATTTTATTTCAGACTTCAGATCAGTGAACAGAACCCATCAATTCATCCCCAGTTTCAAATACTTACAGTATATCTGCTGTATGTTACAGGGTTCAACATTGAATTAGATATGAAATGTCTTGAACTTTTCTTTATTGGAAGACAAGAACCCAGTTATGCTAGAAGCCTGGGAAATAAACTGCCACAGTAACATGTTGTAAGAGGTATTTGTTTCAGATATGCAAGCTCTTTTTATGGCACAGGAAACTATTCCCAAATAAAACTGAAATGTGAAATAATTTAAATCTACATGAGCAGGGACTTGATTGTGATAGAAAGTGCAACAGCCAGAACAAATAGGGAATAGATTCTCAGGATATATGTTAAAGTATTTGTCTTTGAAAATCAATATTTAAATCAGCTTTCCTTGGCTAAGAAACTTTAATAAAAACAGATTAAATTGGATTGTTTTAAAATATATTTAAAATTACATAATCCTGCAACAGAAAATATGATGAAATTGTACCTGACACTCACCTTGATTACAACTGTTTCCATTCTGAGCAAAGAATGAAAATGACAGTTCACAGTGTTTTCTCCCTTAAGAATAACATCATCTCTCTGACTGTAGTCAAATAAATATTTTTTCAGTTACATCACTCTTTACTGTTTTACTAAATTCTGCATCATAAAGCACCTAAGACCTGAAGCAGTAGCCCAAAAAGGTACCCCTTATTTTGGGTTTTGTTACAATAAAGTATTCCTCTAGTTGTTTTACACAGAATAAATTGTAGCTTATTTCTCACAGTATGAGAGGTTTGAATAAAGCTAGGACCTGCAACAATCTGATTTAGGATAGTTTTTACATCAACAACCTTTTTAGAATAGTTTGTTGACACACAGAAGTATCAACAGATGGTCAATAATTTCTTCTCTAGATGCACAACGAATGGTTACCTTTTTACAGTACTTCTAATGCCATCTGCAGATAAATTACATTCAAATATTTATAAATATACTCTAAAATTAATTCAGTCTTAATAATTTGGGGCACAATGCTATCTTTCCAGTTTTAACATGGAGGAGAGATAGTACAATCACATAAATTTCAGATGGAAAATACTTAGTCTCCTATTGCATCATTGATTAGATGCTCTGCTACTTAAATCTCTTTTATTCATTTCCAAATGAATGTGCAATATACAGTGATACAAGACTATAAGCAGTACTGGTATTTTAAATCTTGGATAGTAGGATCACCCATAAAGGTGTATATATCCAGGGGTTTAGCATATAGGTCTGTAGAGCTAACAAATAATAGCGAATAATGTAATCAATGATTTTTGCCTATTTTGTAATGGTAGCAAAGACAGACACCATTCTTTATCATGTTCAAGAATAAGACTGTTAATTCTTTGGTGCAGGGACCGTCATTTACTATGTTTATACAGCACCTCACACAATGGAGCCCGGACCTGGCTGGCCTGTTGGTGTTACTGTAATATACATATGATAATATTGTTACTTCTTTAGTTCAGATCATTATAGGTTATTACTGAGTTTCCTAAACTTTGTTGTCTGGACCAGTGGCTCTTAACCTTTCCAGACTACTATACCCCTTTCAGGGATCTGATTTATCTTGCGTACCCCCAAGTTTCACCTCACTTAAAAACTACTTGCTTATAAAATCAGAAATAAAAATAAAAGTGTCACAGCACACTGTCACTGAACAATGGCTTACTTTCTCATTTTTGCCATAGAATTAAAAATAAATCAATTGGAATATAAATATTGTACTTACATTTCAGAGTATAGTATATAGAGCAGTATAAACAACTCATTGTATGAAATTGTAGTTTGTACTGACTTCAGTAATGCTTTTTATGTAGCCTGTTTTAAAACTAGGCAAATATCTAGATGAGTTGCTGTTCGCCCTTGGAAAACCTCTCTGTACCCCCAGGTGTACACGTACCTCTGTTTGAAAACCATTGGTCTAGACCATTGGTGATCCCAGAGAGCCTCTGATCACATGGTACTGTATATCCTCTGTATTTCTAGCTACTAAATCACACTAAAGGGGAGCTGAAAATACAATAAATGCTTTACTAATATTTCTTTTCCATGTAAGCAGTTGCTGTAACTGACACACAGATGTTATTTCATCACCAATGGAGGGAATGTGATCACACAGTGAAGGGGAGATGATCTGCAAGATAATCCATTAAAATGGTTTTAACATGATGAAATAATTTGAGAACTCTGGTACTACTCAAATCCTTTTGATGATTGCCAGTCACCTAGGTATTTAGAGTGACAGAGTTAAATTAACAGGACCATACTGGCCAGGGTGTAAATAAATACAATATGTGTTAAAGTCAATGATTGTTATGCCTTCTTAGGTCTAGGGTCAGTTTGACCCACAGAGTCAGACTTCTGAAGCATCACATTGCCTTCTGAATGCTAGATCTGCCTGTATAACTCTGCTACTTACAGAATACAGAAGATGGTATGTGCAATGGCTCTCTGATCAGCACAGAACCTGTAGTTTTAAATATTGCAGTTCTCTTTCACTGATAGTGTGCTATTGATTTCTGAATTGCAGGTGATGTGTTCAGAATATCTCTTGTACAAAGCAGTGCAATATGTGCATAAATAGTATGTAAAAAAGCCAAATTTGCACTCCACAGCTATTTAAAAATAAATGTATTTGGTAATGCTGCGCTACGCCCATTACCTATATTAGCGTGCACTGGAGCTTATATAGTCATCTGTTTTCAAGGCACCTCATGTGGATGTCTTGAGAGCTGGGCACATAGGTATAATGATGACTAGAACAGGGATTTCTTCCTCTTGGAGCTGTCCTGAAAAAGCACAATGGTGAGTCATGAGTCAATCAGTAATTCCATGAAGAAATAAGAGGAAGATCTTTTCTTTTAGCACTGTGAACAGTGCTGTGTTGTTTGAATGCGGATGTCCTTAAAATGATGAAAAATAGGTTTGTGGTTCTCATCTACATTCAGTGTTCTTTTATACTATATCTTTTATTTTTAAGTCTCAGCCTTTTTGTTGTTGCTGTCTCACATCTTCATCAGTTCTGTAGGAAGAAAGTTTAGGCCTTGGGACAGAGTCCTTTATTCAGACTACCATTCCGTCTTTCTATGTTCTTATGTTGGCATGCATCACCACTGTATGTTAGCACCATTCTTATTTCCTAGACCAGCGGCTCTCAACCTTTCCAGACTACTGTTTCTTTTTCAGGAGTCTGATTTGTCTTGTGTACCCCCAAGTTTCACCTCACTTAAAAACTACATGCTTACAAAATCAGACATAAAAATACAAAAGGGCACGGCACAGTATTACTGAAAAAATTGCTTACTTTCTCATTTTTACCATATAATTATAAAATCAATTGGAATATAAATATTGTACTTTCATTTCAGTGTATAGTATATAGAGCAGTATAAACAACTCATTGTATGAAATTTTAGTTTGTACTGAGTTCAGTAGTGCTATTCATGTAGGCTGTTATAAAACTAGGCAAATATCTAGATGAGTAGCTGTACCCCCTGGTTGGGAACCACTGTCCTAGATGTTAGCAATGGGCCCAAATGCTAAAATTCAGATGTGGATCTGTATTTGAACATTACTTAAGTTCTGAGTTGTTACAGATTCCATGTCCAAGTTCAGCCTTATCTCAAATGGCCTATGTAAGGTCTCCTTATTTGGTGATGAGTAGTTTATACCATAGTTTATATAACCCACCTAGCCCCTGTCTCTTCTCCTGTGTGGATCCCAGGCCCCAAGGGAGGTGAGGATGGTATCATGCATGTGGCTCACATCCTTGTTTATGTGCAGGAGTGAAATCCCTGCACAGAGGTACCCTTCCTCCTCCTGCTCATGTGGCTGTCAGGGTTTAAAAATCAAAATTGGTCATTTTCACTATTATGTTTGGATCTGTATTATTATTTATGTTTGCACTGAAATTGCCCCCTCAGAAAAACAAACAAACAAACAGTTGCAAGCTGTGCAGCAGAGCTAAGTATCTGCTCTGCTGGGACAATTATAATGTGGATTTTTGAAAAGCTCATTTTATACTGAAAGCTACAAATTAGGTGTAGAAAGCAGTTTCTGACCTCCAATATTATCATTCCAACAAATTGTTAATTTCCAGCAAACTGCTGGAAGAAGGTTAAATCAACCTGTCATAGAAATGGCAATAGATGCAATCCTTGTGGTTGATTAGAATTAAATACAAAAAATAAAAGCCCATTGGACTTGTTGAAGCTGCCTGAAAACCTGAAATTGTGAAAACATTTCTTCATCAGGATAGCAGAGGACTAAACCAAAATAAATGGATGGAGCCTATATTTTGGTGGCATTTGTACTTACTGAAGCAGCCAGAGTGCCTCTCTCTTTTCTCCCTCTCTGTGTGCAGTAATAATCTGCAGTGTATTTGATGCTTTTTGTAACCAGGCTATAATCAGTGCGAAAGTGTCAAGTGCGCTGAATCAGCCTACTCCAAGGGATGTGTGTGGTGAGTGCTGAGATTGTCATTCCCAAGGCATGTCTAGACCAGCAGGACTTGTGTAAGTGTATGGAATCCCAGTAAGGCCTTTTGAAAATACTAGCAGACATGCCCTTAACCATGTTCCGATCCTGCCTCATTGTTCACCACTCTCAACTTGGTATTGCCAGCCCTCAGTGACTGCTTATATTCCTTTTAGAAAATTCCAGAAATGCCCATAGGACCCAAAACACCCTTTCAATGACCAGTCCATGCAAGTTTGTCAGTGTTCTGGCCTCAACCATTAAAACACCCAGTGAGAAGCATTATTATATCATCATAATAGAAGCCACTGACCGATCATACACTGAAGGCAAAGCAGTATTTCCAGAGCAGATTCTGAAAGCTGCCTTTTCAGAGATGTTACGTTCACCACATTGGTCTGCTATTACTCCTATGAAGAACTGTTATCCTGTACGTAGTTGTGAATGAAAATATATATAAGTGTTGTGTCATGCTAGTATATTTCTCTTTCTGCATATAGAAAACCTTGGTGAAATCCAGGCTGCATTGAAGTAAATAGCAAACCTCCAACTACATACCTCCCAACAATCCTAGGTTTCCTGGGATTGTCCTACTTTGACCCCCAAAGCCTCCTGTCATGGATAAAGTGACTCCTGTCCCAAGGGGCTGGCTGGGCCCAGCTCCCCACTCCGGGCATTGCGACCTGGGTCCTGGCACACGGGGTCACATTGCTGTTCAGGTTCGACCTGCCTCCCTGGTGACGGGCAGCATGGCACCCATCGCAGTGCCACTCAAATTTGGCCTGGCCACTACCCTATTATGGTGAAGGGAGCCAGGTCCAGACCTGTGGGACAGGAGCCGCTGCTGCGGGGTGAGTGCAGGGTGGGCTTGTCCTGCAACTCCCCAGGCCTCTGACCTGCTGGGGGCAGCACTCAACTCCCTCCAGCCACGGCCTTCCACTCCTCAGGGCAGCACCTGACACCCCCTCCTGTGGCAGGACCTGTCCAATACCACTGGAAACATTGGGAGGTATGCCATTGAATGTTATGGGGCTAGGATTTCAGCCACTGTATAGGAATGTACTTGTGGTTACTTTGTGGTTGTATCGAAATGTAAAATAATATGCCCAGTGGTTAAAATATGTTTTCCTTTAGCTGAATATCCTAATCTGTCCTAACATTTGCTTTGCTTTAACTTTAATTCTGCAATCATTTCAAAGTGCAGTTATAATCAGCAAATTGACTATATAAAATGACATCTTCTTACCCAAAGTTAATTTTTACTACTTTTTATACCCTTTACCACTATTCAGCCAATACACCCATGGAAGGGTTAGCTGAATTCTTTTCTGTTTGGCACACAATCAATAATTAATAAAGACGGCTCAGATTCACAGCTGGTGTAAATTGGGCATAGCTCCAGGGAAGTCAGTGGAGGTATGCCGCTTTACACAAGCTGAGAATCTGGCCCTATATTCCAGTTGCAGAATCTTTATAACCAATGTTGATAATTTGTGAACAAAAATAACACAGCTTGACTTTCAGATCTTAGAATAGGTACGCAGAAGTGGGCAGTTAGAGGAAAAAATCATTGTACTAGCAAACTGAACAAATACAATATGAAGTTATTTAGGAATAATAAACATGGACCCACACAATTTTTTTTTTTACAAAGTCATTTTGCGAAGTTTAACTGCACTTTAAGCCTCTTTGTTCTATAGTTTCAATGAACGTTGTTACAATTATTGCTTAATATGGACTCAGAGATAGGAATGTTTTTAGAAGCTTTCAGTTTTTAGCTCTTAGAACATTAATTATGTTAAGTGCAGTTTTCTGTCAGGTGTCAAGACAATGTGTTAAACTCAGCCCTTACATAAGCAAGTGCAACTCCATTCAACTTAATTTAGAATTATACCTACCTGTGCCAAAGATTAATTTGGTAGAATATAACTGGTATATATAACTTATGTAAGGGCTGAGCTTATGTAAGGGCTGAGTTTTTATATATATATGTATATATATATATATATATATATATATATACATATATATATAAAAACTCAGCCCTTACATAAGCTCAGCCCTTACATAAGTTATATGTAACTTATACACTTATATTTGGGAAACTGTATATACAGATAGTAATGTATTCATTGTAAAAGAGGTATAGACAATGGTCCTTCGTTTCTATGTCACTATCTAGCCTTGTTCTGTTTTCTCTGAAAGTTGCTACTGTCTGATTACTGTTCACTTGCCTGCATGAATTGAGTTCTTTTCATGATGTACAGATGTCCATATCTTAGAAACCAGCATCACAACTAGCACGTCTTCCCCAAACTTAATGAAGGTGCCTGTGCCCTGTACTGTTCAGACTACCTCTATGAATGACGGTGAAGACTACTCTCTCTGCCTGTTCAGGCCAAGGACTGAATGGGCATGGCGTGTAGACTTCACTTTTGTTCATAGAGGTGATCTGACCAGGATAGGGCCCAGGCACCTTGGTGGAGCTTGGGGAAGCTTCTGTTTGTATTCCTAGTCTTTGATGAAGAGTAAAATTAGATCTCTAGTGCTCTCAGTCTGGCAACTTTCATAAGCATTCAGTCCATTCAGATTTTTGAAAAGTTATAACTTTCTGACAAGCCATTTAAAAATCTTTTGTGCACAACAAACAATATTCAAGAAGTTATTTTCATAGCATTATCAGGGAGGTTTATTTCTTTTTGAATGATGGACTATTTCAGGGTTAGTGCTCCTTATAACCCCCTCCCTGCCAGTACTGGTGCTAGAACTGTTAATTTTCTGTCTTTCTTTACAGTATGCCTGGGATGCAAGTGAAGAATACCTGTTCAAGGCAATGGTGGCTTTTGCAATGCGAAGATATTCCGACAAAGAAACAACTCAGTAAGTGCACACTCAGTCCTCCAATATACCTGTTTACAATATTGCTTATGATGGAACCTATTTTGATATAGAGAAGTTATAAAAATAAACACTGTGTAGAACCAGCATACTGCAATGCTGTTATTTTTTTTTTGCCATCCTGATATGGGCTAGGCGGCTTATAATCTCTTCCCTAAGCAGTGTACAATCTATGGGCCAAATTCTCTGTTGCCGTAAATTAGTTAGTCGGCTTCAGGGGACCTGCACCTATTTAAACTAGCAGAGAATTTGGCTTTAAATGTAATATATGACACCATAAGTGAAGGTTCTGAACAGCCAAGAGTTGAAGGAAGGGGAAAGAAAGGACAAGGGTGGCAGTAATGAGAAATGCAGTGTTATTTCTCAGGTAGGCATGATGATAGAGGCTCGGTTCCCTTTTTTGTCATTGGTTAACTGTGCTCCACTCTGCATCTCGTAGACAAGATGGCAGAAGGGCCAGCATGCAAGAAGACAAGAGTGATCTACAATGGCACACTTATCAGAATTTGGAGGGTTATCTGTCGCTAAGAGTACAACTGCCTAATTACCTTACACTCAATCAGGAAAATGCTTCAGATTTCACACTTCAGGGCATAAACTGATTACCAGCTAAAGTCAGGAGAAAATCTCCCCCATGTTATTGAGTATTATAACTTCCTCTCAAATTTCTGGTATTGGCTACTGTCATAAGACAGGCTACTAGACTAGATAGGTCTTTGGTCAGTGTCAGTGTGGCAGTTCCTATGTCTTTAATATGCTCACCTCCTCCTTAGAGATGAAAACAATATAAAGATATTTTGGTATCCTGTATTGTTTTGTTTATGAATTTAAATAGAAATGTCTGCAGGTCTATTACTTTACTGAGACCAGGCTTTAGATTTACTTTTAAGCAAAACTGGCCCTGGCTGGCACTGAGTCTGATGAAGCATTTTCCATATTTGCAAAGAGATTAACTAATCTGAGTCATATGATATTTGATTGCAGCTACAGTACTGAGTTTTAAATAGAACAACCCCATCCATAACTGAGATGTTGGTTCATTACCATTTCATTCTGATTTGTAAGAAGCTGTCCTTTAAGCTAGAGAGCCATATCTGGTATGTACCACCATTGCTTTCCTCAGGTTCCACAGGAAAAAGTCAGGTGACAGCATGCTTCTATTATTTTACGTCATTGCAAACAACATGAGTGCTTCTCAGAGAAAATGAGTTGAAGTAAACAAATCATTAAAGGTGACCTGTAAAGCTTTTTCAAGATTGTTCACTTTTTCAGCTTATGATCCATGAAGATTCACTTCTTACTTACTTTAGATAGAAACCCTGTTTTCATAATTTTTTTCTTCAAATTTGTGGCAATTTCACCCACCTGGGGAAAAAACAGGGGAGTTGCTCCATCCCCTGCTGACATCAATGCTACTTGCATGCTAATAGCAATAGAAATAATAGTAAGTTGACTTGGAAGCAGAAAAATTATTATGCTGATATCAAATGGGCTTAAGTTTTAATATTAACCCAGTTATCTGCCTTGGGAATTTACAAATCCTACTGCTCAAATAGAATCATAGAAGTGTAGCACTGGAAGGGACCTTGAGAGGTCTTCTAGAAGCGGCGCTGGCCAAGGGACGTGCTGGCCACCCTTCCCGCAGCCCTCATTGGCCTGGAGCGGCGAACCGCGGTCAGTGGGAGCCACGATCGACCGAACCTGCGGATGCGGCAGGTAAACAAACCAGTCCGGCCCGCCAGGGGCTTTCCCTGAACAAGCGGCGGACTGGCTTGGAGAACCACTGATCTAGATCATCCCTGACAGGTGTTTGTTTAACCTGCTCTTAAAAATCTTCAATGACGGAGATTCCACAACCTCCCTGTGCAATTTATTCCAGCGCTTAACCACCCTGACAGTTAGGAAGTTTTTCCTGATGTCCAGCCTAAACTGCCCTTGCTTCAATTTAAGCCCATTGCTTCTTCTCCTATCCTCAGAGGTTAAAGAGAACTAAACTGTTATCATGTCTCCCCTCAGTCTTCTTCCACACTAAACAAACCAAATTTTTTCAATCTTCCCTCATAGGTCACGTTTTCTAGACTTTTAATAATTTTTGTTGCTCTTCTCTGAACTTTCTCCAATTTGTCCACATCTTTCCTGAAATGTGGCACCCAGAACTGGGCACAATACTCCAGCTGAGGCCTAATCAGTGCGTAGCAGAGTGGAAGAATTACTTCTCATGTCTTGCATACAACGTTCCTGCTAATACATCTCAGAATGATGTTTGCTTTTTTCGCAACAGTGTTACACTGTAGACTCATATTTAGCTTGTGATCCACTATGACCTCCAGATCCCTTTCCACAGTACTCCTTCCTCGGCAGTTATTTCCCATTTTTTATGTGTACAGCTCAGTGCTCCTTCTTTAGTGGAGTACTTTGCATTTGTCCTTATTGGATTTCGTCCTTTTTACTTCAGACCATTTCTCCAGTTTGTCCAGATCATTTTGAATTTTAATCCTATTCTCCAAAGCACTTACAACCCTTCCCAGAATGGTATCATCTGCAAACTTTATAAGTGTACTCTCTATGCCATTATCTAAATCATTGATGAAGATATTGAACAGAACTGGACCCTGGACTGATCCCTGCGGGACCCCACTCAGTATGCCCTTCTAGCTTGTCTGTAGGAAAATACTGTGACAGTTTCTCCTGTCACTTAGGCCAGTTTGACACCAACATAATTCCCCTTGTGGAAAAAAATCTTTTCCATAGACATTTTTAAACCTGCCTATCAGTTTTAATACAGAATTGAATTTCTGCTATGGAGTCCTGTGGATTAATTTATATACTTGGTAGAACAGTTGTCATTCTCTATTAAATTCCATATTCACTTCAGTTGAATTATTGCTCATTTATACCAGTGTAGGTGAAAAAAAGAATCAAGGCCCACAGAAACTATTATAATCTATATTTGCTTGTCAGGACCTACCTGGCTCCAGGTGTGGCCTCCTAGGAATCCAGCGAGCTTGGCTGAGCCCAATAAAACCCTTACTAAGTAACTGTGCTCCCTTATTGGACAGAAGGGCCAACAGACCACCATTTAAGCCTTGTAGCAACAACAGCACAGTGGCTGCACAATGTGTTCAATGCCCACAGCTGTGCCACACCTGCTTCCTGCACCAGCCCTTGCTCCAAACCTTGCCTGCCCTGCTCCAGCCCTGGTCCCTCCATTCCTCAGAACTGACCCCAACCACTGTCTTGTCTCCTGACCACCTTTTGCTTCTACTCTGGCTCTGGCCAGTGGCCTGTCTCCTGACCATGCCTCCAACTCTATCCTTTGGTTCTGCTCCAACCACTAGGCCGGGCTCTTGTTCTGATCACGAGGTCGTACTGCCGACACCCCGGTGTGTGACATTTTGTGCCAGTGTTATTGCTTGCTTGGAGGTGAGGTTTTGTGTATCATTGGAAAAGGAATAATTCTTTGGTGCTACATTGTCAAAGGAGAATCAGTGTATTGTAATGTGTCATATTAGACCAATTAAAATGTTGTGAGTTGAAGTCACAGAAACATTCCCCTCTCCACTTTCTTTATTGGGTAGGGTTGTTTTAATCTAGCAATGTAACTTTTGTGCCAGTTAATTTTTTGATTAGGTAACCTGTTTACATTCCCTTTTTACAGTATCAGTGATTTTACTGGCAAAATGTCAATGAATTTTCATTAGGGGTTGTAGAAGATTCACCATGAGTTACTCAGTATCATAAAAGAAAAACTAGCTGATTACCACTGAGGCATGTTATGGTCTAGATTTAAACAATATGAGACATACACAATTGATCAAAGATTTATGAAATCACAGGAACCAGAGAATGCTTGAAGGATTACATTTTTGCATAAAGGTCCAAATCCTTGTTCCCCTTGCAAGTATAGGTCCAAATTCTTGCTGTGCACAGAGGGGGATGATCTGGGAGTGGAAAGAGTCATTGCCACAAAGTCACTGATCAGCACGAGAGATGCTCCATAGCTCCTACAGCAGTTTCAGGGCTTCATTAACCCTCACACCTGATTTGTACTCTTCAAGAACATGAGAGATGAATAGTGGATGGATCAGCATAGACAGAACCCCCTACCTGCTAGGATTCAAAGTGACCCCTTGCTAGACTCTTGGAGGAGGGATAATAGAGGATTTTCTTCACTACAGTGACCAGCTTTTGGTGTAGGAGATGGCAATAGGCCAGCAGTAGGTGCCCATTACTGTCCCTCTGTTACTACTAAGCCCTGTTTAGACCTTACTTTATGTCAGGATGTCAGAATAGGTTCCCATTAAATTCAAATTTCAATCTAAAATGTATCAAACTAGAATTTTAAAAATAAACCACTGATTTGTGCTTAACACTTTAAAGACATTAAATTTACAAAGTTGTGTGAGACAGAAAAATCACGCTACCCATTTGAGTACTCTCTAATAATAGACAGAAAATGAATGTTTATTGAAAAGTTTAACTTTTCCAACAGAGGCACAAATCCTTGATTTCCTGCTTAATAGGGCCTTAATAGGGCACTCTGAAATACAGACATTCATGAACTACATAAACCAACCTTTGATCGTGCAGTCTTAAAAATTGATCCTCTGTAATTTGTGTTGGTAACCCTAGTTTCCCTAATCTGTGACTTGTTTGAAATAATGTGCATCTCTTTTGTGTTGGAGACAAGTTAATCTTTAGCACATAAAGAATGTGAGAACATTTACTTTCAATCAAATAGCAGAATCAGTTGTTGCTGTATCTTTTATCACACCTATATTTAAAAATCTGCAGTATCTTTCATTGACCTGCCACACAGAACCAAACTTTGTTCTGTATCTTCCACACAAGGATCACATCCGTATTTAAAATATTTTGACCATTTAGAAATGGAATGACAAGTGTTTGTGTGTTCTCAGATTTGAACTGATTATGTCAAGATGAGTATTTTAGCCCTGCTGGTTACTCTTCACAGAAAAATCCTCATAGTGTCCAGAAGGTTCTATTGGGAGGAGAAAGGTCTGCTGCCTTGCAAAATGTCAGAGCAAGGGGCTCAGAAGAACCCAAATTCTGTGATTCTCCTATGATCCAGTAGAGCAGTGGTTCTCAAAGCTGGTCCGCCACTTGTTCAGGGAAAGCCCCTGGCGCACCGGACCCGTTTGTTTATCTGTTTGTTTATCTGCCGCATCCTCAGGTTCGGCCGATCGTGCTGGCCGCCCTTCCCACAGCCCCCATTGGCCTGGAGCGGCGACCAGTGTCCAAGTACTTGGAGTACTTGTAGTACAAGTACTCCTTTTCTTTTTGAAAATATGACCAGTATTTCTTTCTCAGTCAGATTAACAGAAGCTAATAATTTCCTTTTCTAAAAGATTTTTCTCCTTAGACTAAAACACTGCAAAATATGGTGACAACATGTACCACTTCAGTATGTACTTCTGTTTTGTACTTATTTTCCAATGACTTCATTTTGTTTTAAATGTTCACAGAATTTCCAATGTGCTGCTTTGCAATATGACAGAGAGGGTGTCATTTTGGTTTGTGGTCACAGACTCTGCCAAAAATGTGACAACTGTTCCTGGAAGTGAAGTAGAGGCAGCCATAAGGTAAAGTAATTGGCCCTCCTTCTGACTCTTCCTCAGTAAACAAAGATGCTTTCTTAATGTGGGCCTGTGTCTCAGGCCGTATGAACTAGCACTCTGTGTCTTTTAATTACATCAATTAGTTTATAGATAAACACAGTGGAGTCCATACTCTTCTTCCTACATGCATGTGAGATTAAAAGGAATTATATGTGGCTGAGGGAGAACAATTTCTTTGAACTCTTGTAACGTGTACGCCTTTGGGAGGTTGACTGCAACTTTGAAAGGTGTCCTTTTTTTAAACGGTGGGTTCTTACGATGTCTAGACATGATGAGCTCTGACTGTAGCCCACTGTTCAGTGTGCATTGCACATGCCCCTCTAATGGCTGATCCACAGAGTCTGCTACAGCTCCCAGACAGGAGATTTAGTACTTTTAATTCAAGGAACAGAGGCTCGTGCTTTTAGTGCTGAATGTTCCAGTTTCATATTGCACTGTCAGACCAAGCAAATAATCTAATGCTCATATTCTTTTTATCTTAGGTCTTTGTAGGAAGCCTGTCACTGTAGTAGATGAGCACCATTTGCACACAATACAGAGTAGCATAAGTTATCCCACTTTTCCATTAAAAATCATGCTCTGAAGTTAGAAAAACAATAATATGGAGCTGCATAGGAAGAGAAGAAAAATAGGTTATCTGAAGTCAACAGTTTAGGATGTGTTCACAAGGGCTTTGCAAGGGTAACTCCCATAAATAGAGTTACCCACATATGTTTCCCAAGCATCAAGCGAAAAATAAACCCATTGTTTTTAAATATACTGCACTTTGTCTTTAAAAATCATGTTATCTTTGCAAAGGCATAATACCTAATTCCTGATGAATGAGTATGCGTTCTTTTGGAAAGATTAACTTTAAGCTTCTGAGCAGATTAAACTATTTCTTACAGAGATACCCAGCAACAACTTCAGTGCATTAGTGGGCGAAGGAGGTTATTTATTCACTGAAACTTGCTAAGAGTGTTGGAATGTACCTTTTTAAAATTCATTTCTGTTGTTCTTTGATACATTCAGTAGCATAAGCTGATTTACAGTAAGTCTTTTATAGGCACTGTTTGCCACAGAAATTGGATGCTGTTATAGCATGTTTGGTTTTTAACCGTTGTCTCTCACCTACTAAAGAAGAGTATACGCTTTTAAAAATGTTTACATTCCTATCAGTAGGTTAGAGACAAGAAACAAAATTCTCTGCAGAATGAGAACTCCTGTGCTCAGTACTCAACTACTTTTGCTGACAGTATTCTGAATCTAAGTTGGACATGACATGCAAAATCTGTTCAGTGTTTATGAATCAAAATCAACATCTCACAAGTGCAAGATTCCTCCTTTAATAATAATTACACTAATAGTTATAATAATAAAATTTGTTTTAGCAACGATTCCATTTGTTTTGTACATATTCCATCTCATGAGAGTCTATGCATGACCCAAAGTAGAAACAATTAATACTATAATAAATACATAAACAGTGATAATATCAATTGTCATCCTTATCCTCTGAGCTTTCAAAAGTTGCATATGGGAGTCTGTGGCTAACACCCTGCACAGGATATATATGGATCAGTGACAGTGGCTATGCAATATATGCAGTCTAAAAACTTCATATTGGGCCACATTCAGCCCTGCCAGAGTTGTACTGCCTATATCAGGGCTATATTTTCCTCATTGTCTTTTCATTTATAAATGTGTTTATCATTGTGTTGTGTTTTGTATTTTTTTAAAGGATGAACAGAAACAGAATCAACAGTGCCTTCCTACTGACAGACAACACGCTGCAGTTCTTGAAAATTTCCTCCACTTTATCACCACCCATTGAACCCACTGTGCCTGTCTGGCTTATCGTGTTCAGTGTTGTTCTTTGCCTCGTTGTGGCTGGAATTCTTTTTCTTGTTGTGTCAGGAATCCGACAACGCAAAAAGTAAGCTGTGCTTTTGTTTTAACCAACTGTTAGTGAATTAAGTGAACTAGAATTGTTAGAGTTGGGTCACTCTGCAGTTCACATTGGTTTCAAAGAAACAATAACAGGTTTCAGAGTAACAGCCGGGTTAGTCTGTATTCGCAAAAAGAAAAGGAGTACTTGTGGCACCTTAGAGACTAACCAATTTATTTGAGCATAAGCTTTCGTGAGCTTGATTATCATACACATTGTAAGGAGAGTGGTCACTTTAGATAAGCTATTACCAGCAGGAGAGTGAGTTTGTGTGTGTGTGTGGGGGGGGGTGAGAAAAACTGGATTTGTGCTGGAAATGGCCCAACTTGATTATCATACACATTGTAAGGAGAGTGATCACTTTAGATAAGCTCTTACAGCAGGAAAGTGGGGTGGGAGGAGGTATTTTTTCATGCTTTGTGTGTATATAATAAGATCTTCCACACTTTCCACAGTATGCATCCGATGAAGTGAGCTGTAGCTCACGAAAGCTCATGCTCAAATAAATTGGTTAGTCTCTAAGGTGCCACAAGTACTCCTTTTCTTTTTTAAAGAAACAATAGCAGCCTTTTCTCCCCAGCTGAGGATATCTTTCCTTTCAAAGGGCAGGTGTTGTTCTTTTGGACTGTGGAGTTATTAACTAAAGGTAGGAATGTGATCTTGGAGGCCTTGTTAATAAAGATGATTGCTTTACAAGGAGTTTATTTGCCACTAGCCCCGCACTGCAGGTAGGTCTCCTGTCAGAGATAAGGCATGCGAGAGGGGAAAAGGCTGGCAATGATTGAGGCTACTGATTTTTAAGACTGGCAGATATAAAACACTGCTCCTGATTTGTGCAGATTCAGGAGCCACACGCAAGCCAGACCAATGACCAAAGGGCTATTTGACTGAAATTTTAAAAGGGCCTGATCCTGTAAGTCAGTGTATGGCCTCAGCTCCCATTCACTTCATGAGGAGTTCTAGGAGCTCAGCATCTCACATGGTCAATTCCAGATTGGACTCGCCATGAGACTAAATTATCACAGCTATGCTGTAAAGTAAGGAGTACTTGTCTCCCCTCTCGTTACTACCCTGCTCATATTGCAGCACCAGTCATAGTGTTGAGTGCATGGTAGTCATAGCAGTCATAGTAAGGGTTACTTACTTGATACTTACTGCTGTGAGCCCATGAGTTCGTGGGGATGGAGAGGGGAAGGGAGTGGATGGAGCCTTCGTTTTGACTCCCGGCTCCCATTATGTTCCTACTTGCTGTGATTTCAGATAGTTGTACTTAGATAAGGACATCTGTAAGCTCATCTGAGACTCTCCTGCTTGACCATACAGTGAAGAGAGCATCCTTTATTTGACTTGGATCATCATGGACATTGATATGTTGTCACAAGCATTATGATTTCATTACAGGCTCAAACAGGAATCGGAGATACATTGGGAAAGTACAAACTCTTATGGACAGCTGGATAGCTTAAAAATTAGCAAATGTCCAGTGGCAAAAAAAATACTGATGAATAATCCAATGTAAATGGATTTATGTGTGAAGACTGAGATGTTGCAGAGATTGCCCCAGTATAAAAGTGCCTCATTTTAGGCAAAGAGGTTGAAACAACTGGGTAAAAATAACATTTACTGCTAGTGTTGAGTGAACCCCATGGAGTTGGAGGTTTGGTGAGGCTTTCAGATTATTTTTTTGTATTCAGAAGACTAGTATGAATTTGCGAAACTCTTCCCTATCTAATCCCATCCCAGGTTTTAAACAACAAGAACAAAACCCAACGAGTGAATGAATGCTTGTTCTTGTGGTTAAGGCACTGACCTGAGATTCAGAAGATCTGGGTCCAGTTCTTAGCTCTGCCACAAACTTCCTGTGTGATCTTGGGCATCAATCAACTCCCCTGAAATCAATGGGAGTTAGACACCTAAATCCTTTTGAGGATCTGAGCCTTAATCTCTCTGTTACTCTTACAGAAATTACCCCTTCTGTACATCTAGGATAATAATACTTCCTGTATCTCAGCCTCTGACTGTCTTGTCTACTTAGACTGTAAGTTCTTCAAGGCAGGGACTGTCTCATACTGTGCATGTGACTGTGCCACCCTCTCCCTTTAAAAGCATGTCACAAGCAGGAGGAGAGGAGTTGATTAGTCACTCTCATTTATTTTAAGCAGGTCTCTAAAGTCCAGGTATCTCTCGCAGGTCAATAAAGTTTTATTATTGTTAATATTACTGGTGTATAAGTCTGAGTCAGGTTGTCACAATGTGTTATGGGATTGGAAGAAATACTGTAGCTAACCTGTAAGTTTCTTATCATTCTAAGTTGCTGATGCTACAGTCTGTAAAGTACAGCAGGTTCTTCAGCTATGAATCAGCAGATATCAAGGTCAAAATAAATCTGGAAATTAAAGGTACTATATAGACATTGTTGACTAAATTTGCTTACAGTTTGTCAGTTTAGATCATTTCTTCAGCAGCTATTTTAGTATGGTTGGTATCAGAGTTTGAGTCTGGAAAAGTGAAAGTATGCAAGACATATTGCTGTTTAATCTAGCAGGCAAAGATCTATTGGCTGGAAGTTAAAGCTAGTGAAGTTTGAACTGGACATAAGATACAAATTTAGAACAGTGAGAGAAACTTACCATTGAAATAGATTACCAAGAAATGTGGTGCGTATATTCTGTAACATCTAACATGTGTCTTTAAGTCACAGCTGGATGCCAAGATCTGTTCTAGTTCAACCACAAGTTGTTGGGATAGATGCAGGAATCATTGAGTGAAATCTATGGCCTGTATTATGCAGTAGGTCAGACTAAATGATCATGGTGGCTCCTTATAGCCTTGAAATCTATTAAGTATATGAATGTGTATTTTATTCTTTATTTTCCTTTTCTATTTTGCACCCTCCTCCAAGCCATTTTACAGAAGGGGAAACTGAGGTATAGAAGTTAAGTTAGGCAACAGAAGGGTGCCAGTGTGAAAGTGATATTAGAAATAACTTAGGAATTTCTGTCTCCCATTCCTATCCTCAGATGACTAGACTATGCCTCTTTGTATATAGTGTGTTGTAAACTTCTTAATAAAAGTGCATGCTAAACTATTTTTCTTATGTCCAGGCTTTGTTGAATGGTACACTTTGATTGCAGTAATGTAATTTTGTTATTCCTTTTTAGAAATAACAATGAGTCTGTAGAGATAGGCGATTTAGAAGACAAATGTGACACACCAGTGACAACAGAAAATGGGATTCCTTGCGATATACTGGATTTAAAAGCAGGCCAGATTAATGGAGTCTACGCAGCAGATGATGAACAGTTCACACCACTATGAAATGTCACAGTTTCTTTTTGGCTTCTTTGAGAGAGACTGTGCTAACTTTATCTAGTCATGACTGATGAATTTCAAACATCAAGGCAAGAAAAATATGACTTGTCAATTATTTTCCCTTGAGAGAAACTTTCCTTGATAAAATACAAACACACAAATCTGTATTACAAAGCTAAAGCAAATGTGAGGACATCCACTCAATTGTTCATTAAACATTTTCAAGAAGTGTGTGGTGGAATGAGGTTGAAGGCTGTCTTACATCAGATGCTTAGTTATTAACGATTATTTAAAGACATCATTATGACTCGTTCATTGTTCTTCTTCAAGTGATGTCCCTGTTGGTGCTCAGTTGTAGGTGCGGCAGGGCCTCCTGCACCTGGGATCGGAGATCTTCACCAGAAGTGCCTGTAGGACTGCACATGCGCATCTTGTCTCTCTCACACTGTACACAGGACATATACATATATATATATATAGAGAGAGAGAGAGAGAGAGAGAGCGCTGTTTGGTCAGACAGACAGCCCCAGTTCCTTTTCTACTACCTTTGGTCTGGGACGGAAGCCGCTAGCAGAGCCTGCTGCTCCTCATAGATAGTTCCTTACCTGATAGAGTAGTTAGTATTTTCCTCTTCTTCTTTCAACTTCTATCTGTAAAAAAATTCTTTCCTTTGGTTTTAACTTTATCTTTACAATTATTCTCATAGCTTAGGTTTCCATATTGCCCACTTCCCGCCTTCCAGACTGGGAAGCCCTTTTCCCTTATGCCCGGCTCTCCCAGGTATAAGAGCATTCTTGTTGGGCCACCTTCTCGATAATGGACATCCACCCACAGTGTATCCACTGTCTGGGAGAGGGACACGTCCCTCAAGTTCTCACTGCCTCAGCCTGAAACCAGAGCTAGAAAGAATTGGGATATTAGATTGAAACTTCTCCTCATGGAGAAATCGCTACATCCAGGATTGGACCTGGGCCCGGATTCTTCCCCAGAGAGGCCTTAATGCTCTGCCAGATTGTCTGCCGACCCCCACTCTCCATGCCCTCTGAAGAGAAAGTCATCCGTGATCATGCAGATGACAAGAGACAGGCTTCCTTCTCCTCACACTCTCAACCCTCCAGAACACCATTCCTGGCTATGTCGGTGGCTTCAACCTCATCCAACAAAAGACATAGCTCCAGGGCACATCCAGGTAGCTCTGGTACTGGCTTAAAGAAATGGTCTAAAGACATTGTCTGGACACCTTCAGCCCTCGACGCCGTTTCCCAGCTCTGGGGAGCGAAGCAGCCCGCTTGCAGGAGCTATGGCACCAACACTGTTTCTGGCACCGACAAAGCTGTTGGCACCGAGTAAGTCCTCAGCACCATCAAAATAGTTGGCACTGGCCAAGTCACCAGCACCGACCGAATCATCAATACCAAAATCGTCAGCATCAGGCAAGTCATCGGTACCGGCCAAGTCACTGGCACCAGCCAAATCTCTGGTGCCATCTTCTGAAACTTCAGGGACATACACTCTCTCTCCATCACTGTGTGTTACAACGGCTCTGATAATGCTCCTTCCCCTTCCACAAGACTTCAGATACCCTAAAGACCTCTGGTATCTGACACTCCCGAGTCTCGGCTTCTTCCCCCCATTTCTACCCTCCTCTCTGGACTTACGACATTCCTCCCTCTCTCTGTCAAGGACAACACCTTCCTTCCCCAGTGAGGAGGAGGAAGAGGAGAAGGAGGACTCCATTGTTCCCTTGACTACTGGACAAATTGCACCAGCTTATCCTCACTATATGCAGACTACCTCTGGCCCCCGTCCTGGCAGGGTCACTGTGGATGCAACCACATGTGCCATTCCCACCAAACTGACCATATTGGGACCCTTCGGCCAGGTACAGGGCACAATTTGGGAACCGTCCCAGAAAGCAAAGCCAGAGACCTACACTTCTCCTTCTCCATCAATCTCTCATCCTTAGGAAGTGAAACCACGACTGATACCAACTCAGGAGGAAGAGTAGGAAAAGGAGGTTCCCCCAACTTTACATTTTTCCTCCTCCTCACCTGATGAGGCAATTATGTTCCATCCCCTACATCTGCCAATGACTTCAGGCACTTTCAAGATCTATTCCATAGGATTGCAAACTCCCTACAGATCCCTTTGGAGGAAGTCAAAGACCAACAGCATAAACTGTTGATATCCTCCACGCATCCTCTTTCTCAAAGATCACACTACCAATCAATGAGGCTTGTCTCGAATCTGCAAAAGTTCTGTGGCAGACCCTGGCTTCCATCCTTCCAACCTGCAAACACACCGACAGAAAATATGTTCCGGCAAAGAATGCTGAATTTTTATTTTCACACCCCACCCCAAATTTGTTGATGGTCAATGCGGTGTAGGAAAGGAGCCGTCGGTACCAATCTTGATCTAGCCAGCCAGCCAGAGATTGGAAATGTCTGGACCTATTTGGATGCAAGACATACTCTTCAGCCACAGTCCAGTTTAGGATTTCAAATTATGAAGTTCTCATGGCCAAGTATAATTATCTGAACTACTCCAAATTGGAGGAACTTTGCTATGATCTACCAAAGACCAAAAAGGAGCTATTCCAGTCCTTGATATTGGAGGGATACCTCCTAGCCTGTACAGCCTATAAGCCTCATTAAGACTCTGCAGACACAGCTGCTCGATCCATCGCAACTGCTATGGTCATGAGGCATGCATCATGGCTCCACCTCTTGGGCTTTCCTAAGGAGGTACAAACCACAATAGAGGACTTACAATTAAAAGGCTAGAACTATTCTCTGAGTGTACAGATGACTCTTTGCACTCCCCTAAAGACACCCGAGCTACATTTCATTCTCTCAGGATATGCACACCAGCACCAAAGAGACGCTCAGGGAAGTACCAACTCCCACCGCAATCCCAAACTCAACAATATATCTCTCAATGCCACTACAACACCCAACGCCACTGACAAAGGCCTCCGTCTAAATGTAAACGGCCCACTTCTCAAGGGGCTCTCTCTCATGTACTGGCACCAAAGCAACAATTTTGAAGGTGTGGTCAAGGCCCCAAGAAGCCTTCCCTTGTTCCAGTCATCCCCACCATCTCTGATGTTCCAATAGTTTGGTGACCAACTAGCTCAATTTTTCCCATCTTGGAGTCTCAGCACCTCAGATAAATGGATTCTAGAGATAGTCAAGGAAGGATACTCCTTCCCCTTCCAATTCCCCCCCCCCCCGCTTTCCCTCTTCAGGGACCCCTCTCATAAGTCCTTTCTACGGGAAGAAATAAATCACCTTCTGCAACTGGGAGCCATAGAACAGGTCCCTCCCCAACACATGAGAAAGGATTTCTACTCCCACTCTTTTCTGATTTAGAAGAAGCCTGGTGGCTGGCATCATATCCTAGACCATCACAATCTAAACAGATTCATCAAGCTGCAATGTTTCAAGATGGTTACCCTCTCTACTATTATCCCAGCATGGAACAATGGGGCTGGTTCTCTGCCCTCAACCTCCAAGATGCATCCTTTCATATTTCTATACATCCTGCCCATAGACGATTCCTCTGGTTTGTCGTGAGCACTGACCACTGTGAGTACAAAGTACTGCCCTTCAGACTATCCACAGCACCTCGGGTGTTCTCCAAGGTCCTCGTGGTAGTTTCAACCTACTAAGGAAAAAAGGAATTATCATTTTTCCATACTTTGATGACTGTCTCCTGGAGACCCCATCTGAAATCTATGCTCTACAAGCCACCCACTTAAAAACAGATCTGTTCATGAAGCTAGGTCTCCTCGTAAACCTAGAAAAGTCCACCCTAACACCAGTACAACAGCTGGAATTAATTGATGTGCAGTTATATGTCATATAATCAGAGCCTTCCTACCATCTCTCAGATTCTCAGCGATAACAGATCTAGTATCTGCTGCCTGGATCTGCCCCCAGATCTCTGCACGAATGTGCTTCCGGCTTCTAGGTCACATGGCAGCAGCTACGTTTGAGGTCAGGCATGCAAGACTGCACATGCTGTGTCTTCAAGCATGCCTCCGTACTGTATACTTCCCCCACAAGCACAGCATTCACAAACTTTTATCTGTGCTGAGGCGAGTCAAAGATTAACTGCTGTGGTGGACACAGCCCAGCAACATCTGTGTTGGAGTTCCTTTCGTACAACCATCACCGACTATGATCCTAGTCACCAATGCCTCCCTAATCAATTGGGGGGTGCATCTACACAAACGCTCAGTGCAGGGTAGATGGTTGTCCACTGAAGTCATCTTACACATCAATGTCCTAGAGCTACGAGTGGTCTGCAGTGCCTGCCGATATTTCCTACCTCTTCTCAAACATCATAACATAAAGAATGATGATGGACAATCTCACCTGCATGTATTACATCAACAGGCAGGGTAGAGTGAGGTCCCACTCTTTATGCTCAGAGGCGATCAAACTGTGGAACTGGTATATCCACAAGAACATCTCCATTTCAGTCATGTACCTCCTGGGACACCAGACCACCACCAAGGACACACTGAGCAGGACATTCTCACACGATCACGAGTGGGAGCTGGATATGTGAGCACTTGAACCCATATTCAGCTGATCGGGCCTTCCCACCATAGATCCCTTTGCCACTCAACACAACACCCACTTCCCTTAATTCTGATCCAGAATGGGACTGGGGCATGGATTGCTGGGAGATGTATTCCTCATAACCTGGGACGCACCACTCCTTAATGCCTTCCCTCCTTTTTCCTTCCTATTCTGAGTACTTTGCAAAATAGAGAGGACCGAACTCATGTCTTACTAATAGCTCCAACATGGCCACTACAGGTCTGGTATACTTACCTTCTATGCATGATGGTATGCCGACGAATCTCTCTCCACCTAACACCATGGCTCCTCTCACAGGACACATTTTCCATCCCAATCCACAGATGCTCTACTCAGAGCCTGGCTCCTCTGTGGTTCCAGGGTCCAGAAATAATCTGCTCAGATACTGTCAAACAGATACAATTGATTAGTAGGCGTGACACAATCAGATACACTTACATTCACAAAAGGACTAGATTTCACTGCTGGTGTGCCTCACATTAGGTAGATGCAGCACACGCTCCGTTGCCATTTATTCTTGACTACGTTCTACACCTTAAACAGTCAGCATTGGCCAATAGTTCTGTTAGGGTACAACTGGCAGCAATCACTACCTTTCACGCCCCCTTTGACAGCCACTCCTTCGCACATCTGCTCACAAAGTGCTTCTTGAGGGGTATTCAATATCTCTATCCCCATATATGATAGCAGACCCCGGCCTGGGACCCCAGGCCAGTCCTACATTCTCTGACTAAGCCCCCATTTGAACCAGTGGCAACCTGTTCTTACATACACCTATAAATGAAAATGGCCTTTTTTGTCTCCATCACCTCTGCTAGACAGGTAGACGAAATCATGGCCCTCATGGCATATCCACCATACACAGTGTTTTATAAAGATAAAGTTACACTGTGCCCACACCCAAGATGCTTACCTGAGGTCCCAACATCTTTTTATCGCAATCAACCGAACTTCCCGAAGCCTCAGAGTAATAAAAAGGAGGCAACTTTTCACACCCTAGACATAAGGTGCGCATTAGCCTCTACTTGGACAGGACTAAACCCTTCCAGAAATCTCCACAATTATTCTCCTTTACCACCAAAAGTTCCAGAGGCACTGCCATATCTAAACAACGCCTCTCTAAGTGGATCTCACAGTGTATGGGTTTATCTTATGATGTTGACGATAGACAACCTCCTATCTCAGTCAGTACACATTCCACATATTCGTTATCTATCTCGATTGTCTTTCTTAATAATGTCCCCATTGATGACATTGATAAGGCTGTTACATGGGCTCCGACAGACACTTTCATCCAGCGCTATGCTATTACGCAGGACATCTCAACAGACACTCTCCTAGGGCAGGCTGTCCTCTCCTTGGCAATACGTGTCGCTCTGAAGCCCCAGCCTTCCAACTAGGGACACTGCTTTATAGTCACCTGCAGTGGAGCACCCACAGGGACATCACTCGAAGAAGAAGAGGGTGACTCATCTTGTGCAGTAACTGAGGTTCTTCAAGATGTGTCCCCCCATGGGTGCAAATTAATTCCAATTCTCCAACGAGAGACTGCTGAATTGGAATTAATTTGCAAACTGGATACAATTAACTTAGGCTTGAATAGAGACTGGGAGTGGATGGGTCATTACACAAAGTAAAACTATTTCCCCATGTTTATTCCCCCCCCCCCACTGTTCCTCAGACGTTCTTGTCAATTGCTTGAAATGGCCCACCTTGATTATCACTACAAAAGGTTTTTTCCCGCCCCCCCGCTCTCCTGCTGGTAATAGTTCACCTTAAGTGATCACTCTGGTTATAGTGTGTATGGTAACACCCATTGTCTCATGTTCTCTATGTATATAAATCTTCCCATTGTATTTTCCACTGAATGCATCCGATGAAGTGAGCTGTAGCTTACGAAAGCTTGTGCTCAAATAAATTTGTTAGTCTCTAAGGTGCCACAAGTACTCCTTTTCTTTTTGTCACTTTTCACTGGCACTAGTCTTGAGTTGGATATGAATATGTCTTTGCAAATGCATGCAGAAATGCAGTGTGTTTTTGGTTTGAACAGGAATTCATATGTGGTGTTTTTATTTACTGTGAAAAAGCGAAAGGCCAAGGGTCTGATCCTGCAAGGTGCTGGCAGCCTTTGTAGCTTATGGAAGAGAAGGTTCAAAGGTGACTTAATTACAGCTTGTAAGTATTAAACAGGGAGACAAGATCTAGTGCTAGAAGCCCTTTTAATCTAGCAATCAAGGGCATGGGATCCAAAGTCTGGAAATGAAAGTCAGAAAATATCCCCAAGGCATCTCATTTTCCAGCTCAAACTTTGCTAAGGCACAAAAGACAATTAAATGCCCAACTGTCATTGAAAATCCATGGGAACTAGGCACTTAACTGCTCTTTGAGCCTTTGGAAATCTTCCCCCCAAATTTTTAACAGTGAAAATAGAACAATTTCCAAGGGATGTGGTAAATTCTGCTTCACTTGGACTCTTTAAATCATGACTGGATTTCTGTCTAAAAGATATGCTCTACTTTGACCACCAGTTATTGGGCTTGATACAGGCATCACTGTGAAATTCCATAGCCTGTGTTATGCAGGAGATCTGACTGGATGGTCATAATGGTCCATGCTGTTGGCCTGTTCATATCTGTGAATCTCCCATTGACATGAATGGAAGCTGAGGGCACCTAAAGGTTCAAGCCCTGAATTCTGCCCTTGGACAGTTTTAATGGGAGCCATTCACACATAATCCATGGTAGAAATTAATATTAAGGACACTATCCTGCTCCCATTGAAATCCATAGTAAAAGTCCAATTGACTTCAATGGAATAGAATTGGGCCCTAAGCAGAGAAGAATTATATATATTGTAAAAAGAGGATATGAGTATGCTGAGGTGAGGAATTATATCTACATGACTGCATAAACATCTGCTTTCTTACTTCTACGTCCTGTCCTGTCCTCGCAATTCCTTTGAAAAATACAGTAATACACTTGAGGATAGAATTTGGCCAGTGTCACTACATTTATTATTTCTTATTTCAAGAGAACATTTAAACCATTATTTAAGCATTAGTGTTTCACAGCATATTTTCAAACTCTTTACCTACAACAGGAGCAGGTGTAAAGTGAAAAGAGCTGGCAAAAACTCCAAGGTCCGGACTGGCTATGCTGATCCTGGCCCCCAGGAGACCAACCCCACCTTCATTGACTGTGTTTTCCTTTTTGGTTTCTCCCACTCATCCTTGAATCTCAGGTATGGGGTGAGAAGGGACCAGGGTATAGAACAGTGGAAACAACACATGTAACAAGGACAATGGGGGATTGAGAGACATGAGAAGAGGGAAGGGAGGAAGGAGGCAATTAATAAAAATAAAATCATAGAGCTAACAAGACATATGCCTAGGATGCTCTCAGTTTTGCTTGCATCTCTGACCGCTTCCCACATCTGTTGTGTGTCCCATCAATTTAGACTGTAAGCTCTTCAGGGCAGGGATTCTCTATGTGCTGTGAGATTCCTAGCACAAGTTTGGGCAATGGATTAATAAAATAAAAAAATGGAAATGAATAATAATCTCCCTGTGTCTCAGATTTTCCATTTGTAACATGGGGATAATTATACTCCCCTGCGTCACAAGGATATTGCAAGGTTTAGTCCATCAGTGTTAGAACATCACTTTGAGATCTTTGGATAGAAGATGCAGTAGAAGTACAGAATATTATTCATGGCCCCCATCCTGAGGTCCTTAACTCAGGCACTGACTTATTTAAAGAACTCAGGATTAAGCCCAGTATTATTTTGTTACCTATGTAGGTGGCTGGCTACCTTCGTAGGTGCCATACTCTATATTGCTAGGAGTGAACTGCAATGTGATCTGTGCTGAATGGCTGGTACTGTGACATCTCTTCAGAAATTGCGGAAAGATTTCTACAGTGTGGACCTTTGGGGGAATGGCTTAATAGCACAACGGCAAATGGGAAGTGCAGATGAAAAGAGGCAGTTCTACAGTGTGGGTGAAATTCACTTAAAGTGCAAAGAGGCCTTGGCAAGGCTTTCTACACCACACACAACTTTAATGGGGATTTGTCTGAGCCTTCAGCCATGGCCAGCACTTTGAAAGTGGTTCTCTTCTGAATATTTTATGTGAGGTAGCCTGTTATTGGTAGTAAATGGTTAATCACTAACCTCCTCCTGAATTGGATCTTCAGCAGTGAGATTAAGTAACAGTGGCTTGGCATGATTTTCCTTAGTAGTTACGTAAGGTGAAGACAGAGAGTACATTTTGTTGCCCGTAGGAGCTGTGAGTGAACAGCCTGTGGGATATAAAGCAAATGGGCTTGTATCATTCGTAACAACCATTAAAAGTTATTCTTGGTTTAAGATTCCTGGTTGAAATAGTAATCAGAAACTGGGTTCCACAAAAACATATTTACTGTGGAAGAAACCAGTCTGTGTTCTAGCGTTCTCATATTGCAAACTCTAGAAAACAAAGAGTTCGACTTGGTGAATTCTGCCCTTTAAACACCACTAGTGGCACAATGCTGATTTACGCCAGCCGAGGAGCTAGCCCAACTATCTTATATAACCTTTGTTTGTTTGCAGCTGTTGTTTTTCCTCCCAGCAACCTGTCATAGAATGTTGAGCTTTATATAGGTAATTCAGTGAAAGGCAATATGCCTTCAATCACTTCCTTAAAGACAAGTGAGACAATTATGCTGATGCATCACATCAGTGCAGTGCCATGAGGTACAAACGGAGTAACACTGATGTGACTGGGAGGAGAATTTTGCTTTTCTAAGAGCTTGATCTGAGGCTATAGATCATTACCTAAATTCCAGATAAATGAAATAAAACAGTTAAACAAAGCAATTATAAAATTCAGAGAGATTCTAGATAAAGCAAAGGTTGATCAAAGTTTATCAGTAACTTCATTACCAAAGTTGGTCACAATTTCATCTATCAGGGAGAGTTTTGATTCCTGTGGGTTAGCACTAATGCAAATTATGCATAGATTATGCATAAACAGACTGAGTTTATGGTTTATTCTGTCACTCATTACTTCAGAGTGTTTAGAGAAGAGTTTTGAGAACTTGGAGATATCTGCCCTGGAATTAGAGAACAAGCTAATGTTTACTGATTAAATCTGTAGAGAACTGTGAGTGCAGCACCAGACACATTCTTTACTTTTAAATGAAACACAAATGTAACAATTTATAGGAAAAAGTGTAAACTTAGGGACCAGATGTTGGAAATGCTTAGTCAGGTAATTTTGCTATTGAATTGGGTGGGAGTTTGTAGTAATCCCTTACCACAATTTATAGTGCCTCTCTACTGGTCTGACCTATCCTGCGGCCTGGTATGTATGGGTGAGTGAAGGGGTTTGCACTTGCTCTGCTGGAACAAGGTGCAAAGCTACTCAGAGGGAAAGGTGTTTATGCAAATGAGCTTCTTATCCCCCACAATCAGACCTCTATGGATCCTGGGCCTTCTCTCTTCCCCAGTTTCGGTTAAAAGGGTTATAACTCCAGTCCTTCATCTCTGCACATCTACTGCGGGGAAAAGATATGTTCAAGAATGGGCTCCCCACCATGAGAACAAAATAATCATAGTGCAGGTGCTGAGGAATCTCTTTAACATTATGTCCCCCTCCACTTGATCACTTTGGAGGTCTGGCCCAGTGGGCCCTGGACTCTGCTCCCAGATGACAGCTCTGGTTCAATGGCTCCTTTCAATCTCTCTCTGTGGCTGTCTTTCCTCTGGGAAAGAATTTGCTCTCTGTATTGAGTCAGTAAGATAGTGCGTGCATTTTAGTGCATATGGGCAGGTCAGAGTTTGTACCTATATCCCTAGGCAAGGGAACCGGTTGGGGAGTTGCATAAGCCTTGTAGAGCTATCTGTGAGGGCAAAATTTTTTCCCTTGGAATATGTACAGACCTCAGGGTTTCAGAACCTGGCTGGGTGGCACAGTTCCAATACTCTGCTTTCCATGGATGCACCAGGGTTGGGGATTAGCACCATACCTAACAAGGAACTAAGGTCCTGCTGGTCTTCAGCAATGTCACTAGCAGTACTGAAGTTGCAAAAGAGAGAGAGCAATTTTTGTTGGAGCTGCTCATCACATCACTAGGGGAAAGAAACTTCCTTGTTACGTGTTGGACTTCATGATGAAACACTTTAGTCCTGGATATTCCTTATTCATCGTCATTGTTTGCTCTATAATTTGAGGGAAAACAATTTTGCAGTTTAGGTCTTCTCTCTCACATATTGTTATCTGCAAAGGAAGAGGGAGAGATCTGTATTTGGGGCTCTAGGAAACTGTTCGTGGGAAAGGATCAGTTTCAACAAATTTCATGTTTTGAAATTTTTTTTGGAAAAAATGTTTTGAAATTGTTGAAATTGGACATTGTGACATTTTCAAAATGAAAAATTCTGGATTTTTTTTTCTTCAGAACTACTTTTCATTTAGAAATGTAAGTTAATTATAGTAAACAACATAGTATAAAAAGGTCAAAATCAAACAAAATTAGCCAAAATATTTTTCAGTTTGTTGATTCACAACAATTTTTCAGATATTCAACTTTTTGTCCCAATTCAGAACGGGATAATATTTTGAAATCTTGAAATTTTTCTTGGGATGGGAAAACTATTTGGCAGCCACCCTAGTGTCATGTTCATATCTTGAGTGGTAAAAACTCCAACCCATCGTATCAGAAAGAATATACACTTAGAAGCTTGGGACAGGAGCACTATGAAGAATAAAAACAACAAAAACCTAGGATTTTTTGGTCAGTTCTTCACTGCAATAACCTGTTGCTTATGAAGTAATCTGTTTTAAATGTGTCAAGTTTACTTAGGTCATGTATCAACTGGCTGTCCCCAGCCCATTAGCTGGGAGCAGTCGTTGCTCACCTTTCTATGAACTGCTCTTATTTGTTTCTAGTATTTTTGATTT